CTATGAGTTCAAGCCCTACAACCAACCAAAAAAAGAATACAGCCAAGTTACAAGATACAAAATCAGTGGTAGAGTGCCTGCCTTGCGTGTATGAGGCCCTGGGTTCGATTCCTCAGTATCACATAAACAGAAAAAGCCAGAAGTGGCACTGTGGCTCAAGTGGTAGAGTGCTAGCCTTGAGCTGAAGAGCTGAGGGACAGCATCCAGTCCCTGAGTGCAAGCCCTATCACCACCACCAACAACAAAAAGATACATAATCAATACACAAAAACAATAGTGTTTCTTATATCTGCAATGAATTAGCTGAAAAAGAAATCAAGTACAGGGGCTGGGAAGTTGGCTCAGTGGTAGAGCGCTTGCCTTGCATGCATGAGGCCCTGGGTTCGATTCCTCAGCACCACATAAGCAAAAAGAAAAAAGCCGGAAGTGGCGCTGTGGCTCAAGTGGTAGGGCACTAGCCTTGAGCTGAAGAGCTGAGGGACAGTGCTCAGGCCCAGAGTTCAGGCCCCATAACCGGACCAAAAAAAAAAAAGAAAAAGAAAAAGAAAAAGAAATCAAGTGCATAGGAAAAACTGAGAAATAAATAGCTAGTAAAAAATTTAGCTAGGGAAGTGAAAAAAATCTGTAAACTGAAAAACTCTAATGAAGAAACAGAGGTGACACAAGTAGATTACTGCCTGAAGAATTATGGCTGGAAGAATTAATGTTGCTAAAAATTCCCATACTGGACAAAGAAATATGCAGATTCAGGGCAATCTCCATCAAAACTTTCATGTTATTTTTTACTCAATTAGTAAAAGATCTTAAAATCTATGTAGAGCCATGAATAGTAATTAACAGTGAAAACAATTGAGTTAAAACAGTAAAACTGAGCCAGGTGCCGGTGGCTCATGCTTGTAATCCTAGCTGCTAAGAAGGCTGAGATCTGAGGATTGCAGTTCAAAGCTAGCCCAGGCACAATAGATTCTTATTTCCAATAAACCACCAGAAATCTGGAAGTGGTACTGTGGCTCAAGTGGTACAGCACTAGCCTTGAGCTGAAGAATTCAGGGATGGCACCCACACCCAGAGTTCAAGCACCGTGACTGGAAACAACACCAAACAAACAACAACAACAACGATGACAAAAAAAACAGCAAAACTGGAAGTGTAACGCTACCTGACTTCAAACTATAATATAGCTCTAGTAATTAAAAAATCATGATACTCCATCAAAATAGACCAAAATAGACTATCAACCCTGACAGAATATAAAGCCCCCAAATAAACCACAATTAGAGCTGATTTTTGACAAAAGTATGAAGAATAAGCTGGGTGCTAATGGCTTATACTTGTAATCTTAGTTATTCAGGAGATTGAGATCTGAGGACTAAGGTTTGAAATCAGCTAGGCAGGAAAGCCTATGAGACACTTTTTTCCAATTAACCACCAAAAGCTAGAAGTGGAGGGGTGGCTCAAGTGATAGAGTGCCAGCCTTGAGCATAAAAGCTGAGGGACAGAATCCAGGGCCTAAGTTAAAGCCCCAGGACCAGTACACACACACACACACATACACACACACACACACACACACACACACACACACACACACACACACACACACACACACACACACACACACACACAGTGTGAAGAGCCGGGCACCAGTGGCTCATGCCTGTAATCCTAGCTATTCAGGAGGCTGAGATCTAAGGATCTTGGTTCAAAGCCAGCCTAAGCAGGAAAGGCTGTGAAACTCTCATCTCCAATAAATCACCTGAAAGTTGGAAGTGCACTGTGGCTCAAGTGGTAGAGGGCTAGCCTTGAGCTGAAGAGCTGAGGGACAGCTTTCAAGCCCAGAGTTCAAGCCCTGTGACCACCACCAACAACAAAAAGAAGTACGAAGAATATATCACTATGGGAAAGGGAGAGTATCTTCAAAAAAAAGGTAGTGTGAAAAGTAGATATATACTTACAGAAGAAGGAAATTGGACCCTTGCCTAATATCATATATAAAAATCAACATGAATTTAAGGCATAACCAGAAGACCTGACACTATAAAACTTCTAGAAGAAAACAGAGGAAGCTATATTAAATTGGGCAATGGTTTTTTGGCTACAAAATCAGAAGTGGACAACTGGGATTATATCAAACTAAAAACTTCTGCACTACAAAGGATAATAAATAAAAACAACCAATGGATTAAGAAAAAATTTTTACTCAGGAGGCTGAGATCTGAGGATCATGGTTTGAAGCCAGCCTGGGCAGGAAAGTCTGTGAGACTTAGCCACAAGGAAACTGGAAATGGTTTTGTGGCTCAAAGCAGTCGAGTGCTAGCTTTGAGTGAAAAAGTGCAAGGACAGCTCCCAGGCTCTGAATTCTAATTCTTTAAGGACACCACACATAAAAAGCCACATATTGAATAATGCCATTTACATGAAACGTCCAGAATAAGAAAATCTATAAGGACAAAGTATTTTAGTGATTGCCAGGGACTGGTAAGAGAAAATATATGGAATGACTGCTCACAAGTATGGGCCTCTTGTATGGGAGATGGAAATGTTCTGGAAAAGGATGCACAACTCTTTGACTATATAGAAAGCCATGGATTAGAATATGGTAAAAGCCTGAATTTTATGTTAAGTGAGTTGTCAACAAAGCTGTTATGCTGAAAAAGACACTTCAACTTCGTTTTCAAAAATATATAACAAGTGGGTGCCTGCGTGCGTGCGCGGGCCAGGGCGCTGGCCAGGAAGGCTCACCAGCGACAATCTCACATCCCGAGGCCCGGCCCATATCGTCCCCCCGCCCCAGGCCACCTCCAGCGCCCCTCAGGCCCGCCAGACCCAGCCATGGTCAAGGCGATCCTCATCTTCAACCACAGGAAGCTGAAGCTGTCCAAGTTCTACCAGCCCTACAGTGAAGACACCCAGCAGCAGATCATCCGGGAGACCTTCTACCTGGTGTCCAAGAGAGATGAGAATGTCTGCAACTTCCTGGAAGGAGGCTTTTGATAATCAGTCTTAAGCTGTGTAACGTTGTGTGGTCTATGGAGTTATATGCAGTTAATTGGAGGCTCAGACACTATGCAAATATGCTGTATTTTTTCTTCTGTGTGGATTCCTCAGAAAGCGAACTTGGCATTTTAGACCTCATTCAGTTGTTTGTGGAGACAATAGACAAATGTTTCGAGAATGTATGTGAGCTGGACTTAATATTTCATGTAGACAATGGTGAAATGGTGATGGGCAGAATGGTGCTGGAGACCAACATTAATTAAATTATCACGCAGATCAACGTGCAGAACAAACTGGAGAAGTCTGAGGCTGGCTTGGCAGGTGCTCTAGCTCGGGTTGTATCAGCTGTAAAGAATATGAACCTCCCCGAGATCCCAAGAAATATTAACATTGGTGACATCAGTATAAAAGTGCCAAAGTTGCCCTCTTTTAAATAAAATATTAAAAAGACCACTCCCAGGTAAAACCCAGGGGAAAAAGTCATCTAAGTTTACCATGCAGTTGTTTACCAAAAATAGAGGAGCCAAGTCTTAACTTTTGCTCTTGGATTTAAGTCAAGGTACTGTATAGAAGTTGTGTAAAATCAGTATGGAAGCTCATTGTTGCTTTTCTCACTCAGTGACTTTAAAAACCACTGAAGGTGGCTCAGTGGTAAAGTACTTGCCTTACATGTATGAGGCCCTAGGTTCAATTCTTCAGCACCACATAAGCAGAAAAGGCTGGAAGTGGCGCTGTGGCTCAAGTGGTAGAGTGCTAGCCTTGAGCTGAAGAGCTAAGGGGCAGTGCCCAGGCCCAGAGTTCAGGCTCCACGACTGACAAAAAAAAAAAAAAAAGAAAGAAAGAAAAAAAAGAAATCGAATAGTATAGCTCCTCTGTGTGTGTGTATGTGTGTGTGTGTGTTTCTTTTTTTAGAAAAAACTGCATTCCTATGCCCACCTAAGGCATGCCCATATGTATTGGCTATTACAGTGTTTCCAAAAGTGGGATATTTTAATTATATACAAGCCAGACTGTTGGTGTTTTGTATGGATCATAGGTAGAACATTCTCTAATTCTTTCTACTGTTTGTCACAATTATTATTTAAAGAACCCAGTATGTATTGCATGAAAACATTATGATGTTTTCCTCTTAGTTTAAATAAACTCCAAGATAACTGGACTTCTGAAACACCTTTCTGTTGGCCTGATATCTACGTTAGCAATAATTGTTTTTACAACCCTCTGATCAACAAAGTAAACAAAAGTCTATTTTATCATTTAAAAAAATATATAGTATATGAACCATGTTTATAAAAAACTAGATAGATTATATAAAATAGATTACATATAAACTAGATAGATTATATGAAATCTATCTAGTTTTTATATAAATGAAGACAGACTTACTGATAGGTTTGGAGGGCAAGAAACTTTTTATTCTATACACTTTTATGCTTTTTGTTGTTTGAAGTATATGTAGGTATTAGGTTTCTTTTGGTTTTTTTTATAAGTTTTTTATTGTGAAAATACTGTACCGAGGGGTTACATTTACATGAGCAAGGTAATGAGTACATTTCTTATCAAGAATTGTTGGGAAGCCGGGCGCTGGTGGCTCACGCCTGTAATCCTAGCTACTCAGGAGGCTGAGATCTGAGGATCGCGGTTCAAAGCCAGCCCGGGCAGGAGAGACCGTGAGACTCCTATCTCCAATAAACCACCAGAAAACCGGAAGTGACTCTGTAGCTCAAGCGGTAGAGCGCTCGCCTTGAGCTGAAGAGCTGAGGGACAGCGCCCAGGCCCAGAGTTCAAGCCCCATGACCAGACCCAAAAAAAAATTTAAAAAAAGAATTATTGCCTCCTCCTTTGTTCTTCCCCTACCATCCCTTCCCTCCCACCTCCTCAACTACACACCCCCCTCCCCAGGTATTAGTTTTTCATATCTGTGTATGTATACCTACAGATCATACATTCTAGCATTGATGGCTTATCATAATATTTTACATTGATCTTTTCTTTCCTTTCAGGAAACAACAATTAGTGATATCCCTACATTTGAAGCATTCAATAAAATACTGTCTTTACCAAACTCCAGGTTAGTAAAGTCAAGACAGCCATCAGAATGTGTGAAAGTCATTGGAATGCCTTGAAAAAGCACAACACGTTGGTATATTTCTACAGTTAGTATTTGAACCTGCTCCCAACGCCTACTTGCCTTACCATCCCTTTACCTGCACATATCACAAAATCCTGACTTAAGGAAAAGAATCCATGGACACGTGTTTAAAATGATTTTATTTTGTTTTCTTTGACGCTGAAATCTGGGCTGGGAAGGTGGCTCAGTGGCAGAGCGCTTGCCTTGCATGCATGAGGCCCTGGGTTCAATTCCTCAGCACCACATAAGCAGAAAAAAAAAAGCCAGAAGTGGCGCTATGGCTCAAGTGGTAGGGCACTAGCCTTGAACTGAAGAACTGAGGGACAGCCCAGAGTTCAGCCCCCACACCTGACCGAAAAAAAAAGAAATCCTACTGATACCATATTCCCTGTATTCTAAACTTCTACCAACAATATAATCTCCTCAAGGGGCTGGGTGGCTTATGCCTGTAATCCTACCTTCTCAGGAGGCTGAGATCTGAGGATCCTGGTTCCAAGCCAGCCCAGGCAGGAAAGTCCATGGGATTTTTATCTCCAATTAACCACCAGAAACCCGGAAGTGGCTCAAGTAGTAGAGTGTTCACCTTGAGCTGAAGAGCTCAGGAACAGTGCTCAGGCCCAGAGTTCAAGACCCACGACCAACAAAAAATAAAAAAAATAAATAAATTGGGAACCAATTATAATTTGTGACGCATGTGATACTAGGTTTCAAGGCACCTAAAACTAACTTAAGGCTTAGTGCACAAAAGGTGGACTTTTTGTCTATCATGAATAACGCCTAAATTTAATCCCAACACTGGATTAAATCCTAACACTGCAAATATAACGTACTCACACATGACCTTTTTCAGTTTCTCAGGAGCCGGTTTTATAGAGTCAGTTGAAAACTTTCACGTTGAAAAACAGAAGTCAGAAGTTGCCATGGCAATCCAAAAGACCCTTGAGTCTCTTTCATGTTTACAGAATTCTGAAACTGGATACACAAATGTGGATTCTTTCAAAGAAACTCACCTCATAGAAGAAGACCAAAAAATCAGTGGTGTCTAAAACTTTCCTGAGCGGACCTGCTAACTAAAATAAATCTTGGAGGTAAAGTAGAATATGACATGGAGAAGTGATTCAGTAGATCCCCAATGGACATCAACTAGGAGTCTGAAATTGCTGATGAATTCATTAAACAGTTTCAAAAAGTGTATTTCTCAAGTTTGTTTGATATACTCAAATGCTTTGTATTGATCAACAGAGTGACTTAGTTCCATAACTTAATTAGGTTTCTCTTTACAGAGCATACAGTGTTCATTTAGGATATTCTTCCATCATGGGTATCTTTATATTTGATTTAGTAGTATAATCATGTTGGATGCTGGTGGCCCATAACTGTAATTCTAGCTACTCAGGAGGCTTAGTTCTAAAGATTGTGGTTCAAATGAGCCTAGAAAGAGAAATTCAAGAGATTTTTTTTCTTTTTTGGTGGGGCTTGAACTCAGGACCTGGGCGCTGTCCCTGAGCTTTTTCTCTCAGGGCTAGCGCTCTACCACTTTGAGCCACAGCACCAATTCTGGTTTTCTGGTGGTTAATTGGAGATAAGGTCTCATACTTTCCTGCTTGGGCTGGCTTTGGGGTGTGATCCTCAGATCTCAGCCTCCTGAATAGCTAGGATTACAGTTGTGAGCCATTGGCACCAGTTCCAAGAGACTCTTATCTCCAGTGAATTACCAAAAAGCCAAAAATTGAGGTGCAGTTCAAATGGTAAAGCACCAGTCTTGAGCAAAAAAGCCAAGCAAGAGCTTGAGCCCCTGAGCTCTAGTAACACACACACACACACACACACACACACACACACACACACACACACACACACACACACAGAATAATTACATGAAAGTTTTTTATTTTTGAAGTATTGCTATAGAGCTAAGGCTGGCTTCAAACTCAAAATATTTCTGCTTTTGTCTCCTGAGTGCTGGGATTACAGGCGTGTTTCACCATGCCCAATTTAAAGGGAAAAAAACCCTCCTATAATCCCATATTCTTTGTTTGTTTGAGACATGGTCTTGCTATGTAAGCCCAGGCCAGCCTTGAAGATGTTCTTGCTTTAGCCTCCTGAATGCTAGAATTATAGGCATGGACCACCATTTCTAACTGTCTGAAAGTCATTTATTTCAGAGGTATTCCTTCTTTTCTCTGTATCCTAATTCATATTTTTAATGGTTATAATATTGAATATTCATTCTCACACTTTGATTATTAATCTATATCATAAAAATATTTCAGTAGCTGTATGGTATTTTATCACATTGATATTGTAAAAATCACTTACCCATTCACTTATTTATTGGCATTTAAACTGTTTTTACATTTCACTAATAGTAGGCTATGGCCAAATTTACAAGATTATCTAAAATAGGGTCAATAGATATAAATATTAATATGGTTCTGGTATATCACTTGTTATATTACTATAAAAATTAGTTTTCAGCCCCAGTGCCAGTGGCTCATGCCTATAATCTTAGCTACTCAGGAGGCTGCGATCTGAAGATTGCAGTTCAAAACCAGCCCAGGCAGGAAACTCTGTGAGACTCTTATCTCCAATAAGCTATCCAGAAAAATCTGCAAGAGGTGCTGTGGATCAAGTAGCATACTAGCCTTGAACCCAGAGAGGCTCAGGCACATGGCCCAGACCCTGAGTTCAAGCCCAAGAACCAGCAAAAAAAATGAGTTTTCAGGTCTGAGGGTATGACTCAAGCTGTAGAGCACCTACCTAGCAAGCATGAGACTCTGCATTTAAATGCTATTTAAAAAAAAAAGTCAGGTGACAGTGACTTATGCCTGTAATCCTAGCAATGAAGGAGACTGAGATCTGAAGATTGCATTTCAAAGCCAGCCTGAAAAGTCCTCAGGACTCTTATCTCAAATTAACTACCCCAAAATATCAGAAGTGGAACTGTCACTCAAGTGATCAAATGCTAGCTTGAGCCAAAAAGCTCAAGGACAGCATCTAGGTCCTGAAATCAAGCCCCAGACTGGGGCTTGAAAAAAAGAGGGGTTGAATCAACATAGCCACAGACAAGTCACCCAACTTCAAGCCTCAATTTCTCTGTAAAATGGAAATAATAGTACCTATTCCACAGGGTTGTGATGACCAACTGAAATGAAAATGTATTTAGTTCTTAGCACTTAGTAACTACTTAATAATACTTATCAGTTATTTTCACTAGCAGTTTATGAATGTATTATTACACAACTTCAACTTTGGACAGTATCAATTAAAATTTTTAAACACTGTGAAACATACTGAAAGGTGACTGCTGCTGCTTTTTTCCCTTCCTTTTCCTTTCTCTCCTCTTCTTCAGTTGAAGAGAAGAAAACCAAAGAAGAAATGACCAGAAAAAAAAGTTAAGTCCAAATACAATTCTCTAAATTATTTTTTACATGTAACTCTTGCTTCCTTGGACCTCTAGGAAGAATTATATTAACAGGACACTGGTAATCCTAGCTACTCTGGAGGCTAAGAGCTGGGGATCATGTTTGAAAGCCAGCCAGGGCAGGAAGTCTATGAAACTACCAAGAGGCCAGAAATGGAACTGTGGCTCAAAGTGATAGCTTTCAGCTCAGGCCCTGAGTTCAAGTCCCCAAACCGGTACACACACAAAAAAGTAATAGCTATTATATCAAATGCATACCCTAACTCTGAGTCTTGCTCAAGGTCACCTTAGTCACTTCTTTGTATCCACTTATTGAATATGCATTATGTGCTATTCAGTTGTACACAGTGCAGCTATAACTATGAACAAAACAAGAATTTATAGTTTCTGTGCTGTTAGAAAGGAGGGTATGTATGGCAGGGAATGAGCTGTACAGATAGACCATCTAAAATTTGGATGGGGTTCGTGGTATGAAGAAAACCACTGACCTCAGTAGATGACGTCTGCTTAGGTGTAATGTCTTTCAAGAGGTGACAGCTCAGCTGGGCCCTGAATTATCAAAAACAATCTATCTTCTCCAGGAAGAAGCTGGGGTGTGGCTCCTACCTGTTGTCCCAGCACTTGGGAAGCTGAAGCTGGAGAAACAAAAGTTGGAGGCCACCCTGGGCCAAAGTGAGCGACGTCTCAAAAATATTTCATACTGACATAACAGTATCAAGGTCCTAAAGAGAGTAATGATCTCAATGCCCCAGATGATCAGAGAGGCAGTATAGACAGTAACTGGGGGTAAATGGTACAAGATGACTCAAGCATATGCCAGACAAGATGTATGCTTTGGGGCATTTATATGTAAGTAACTGGATTACTCAGTCTGGAAACCAGGAGTGATAAGCACAAAAATTATTTTTGCAGCTCTAGCTGGGAAGCCTGTGGCAGAAATGAAATTAAAATTCCCGCGTCTTTCCTAGCATAGTGAAAGAGATGGGAGAGGATGTAGGACACAGGCCAGTCCAATGAAACCTGTCATCCCAGCTATGTAGGAAGCCAAGCAGGAGAATTCTCTCCAGGCTGCTGGGTAAAACACTAAACCTTTCCTGGAAAATGAAAAAGGGTTTGGGGTGTCGCTGAAGGGGTAAACACTGGGGAGCTCAATTCCAGCCTCAGTAGCTGGGAGGGGCGGGGTGGGACTCTAGCAAGCAGGCCTTCCCGGAAGGGATGAGCATTTCCTGGGCAAGGGTTTTAACAAGCCGAGAATGAGCAAAGCTGGTCTCAGCCGCGGCAGGCTCGTGTGATGGTTCAGAAGGCTTTAACTTCTACAACCGTAGGACGGCCACGCGAGTGGACTGGCCCTCGACTCTGGGCAAACCGTGCAGGCTTTCCTTCCCATTCCCTCCTCCCCCAGGCTTAGGCGCGCCCGCCAAAGCTCCGGGGGGGGGGGGGGGGGCGGGGGCGGGGCCGGCCTCCGCTGCACTGCGCCTGCGCTGCGCCTGAATTCCACGGGGCTCACTTTATTTCACCGGAACTCGAGCTTCTGCTTCCGGGTCGGAGCCATGGCGGTGGCAAATTCAAGCCCCGTCAACCCCGTCGTGTTCTTTGATGTTAGCATTGGTGGTCAGGTGAGAGACAGGCGGATACTCAGACCTGTCCCGAATGGAGACTGCACCGTGGGGTAGTAATGCGGAGCTCACCCACCCAGGGAGAAGGGATTCGGGAGGCCAGAACACAGAATTGCACCGGAGTCTGTGGACTCTGCTGGGTGCGGGAGGGGAAGGGAGGAAGCGGGCATCTTCCCACCCCACCGCCGCCCCGCCGCCGCTGGCCTTCCTGAGGTTAAGCCTGGCCGGGAAGGCGCGGGTGGCGCGGGAGAACCCAGGGGCCGGAGAGGCCCGTCCCATCCCCAGCTCGGTGAGCCCTTCCTGGCGGGGCACTGAACCGTCTGTGTCTGGTTTCCCGCAGGAGGTTGGACGCATGAAGATTGAGCTGTTTGCAGACGTTGTGCCTAAGACGGCCGAGAACTTTAGGTAAGGAGATGCTCCCGCCGTGCCATCTTGCCTCTGCCGTTGTTTAATAGCTCCCATGTGGATTTATGTAATCTGTATACCTGCGTGTTTACCATCTAGCTGACCTGTTTGTGTGTTTGTTGGCCCTAGTGTCTAGAACAGCCCTCCCCTCCTGAGATTAGAGGGGCACACAGCTGTGATGTCATGGTAACTGAACCGTTCACTTTTGTTGTTTTCTTTTAGGCAGTTCTGCACGGGAGAATTCAGGTCAGTCTCACATGTTTTCTGCCTAGTGCAGTGGGGTGTCCTGGGGCTGCAGTAAGGGTATTGGGGTGCCATAGGCAGACCTTGAGGGATAAAAGAGAATACCCAAGGATCAGCCGTTAATTCACTTCCCTTATTTTGTGTTGCTCTTCCGGCCAGGCCATCTTTAGGAGAGACTCCCTTTGGCTCCAATATGTTGTGAATTGAAAAGATTTAATTAATCTGTCATCATTCTAAGTCTCTTTCTTTTTGTTTATAGAAAAGATGGGGTTCCAATAGGATACAAAGGGAGCACTTTCCATAGGTAAGACATGAAACACCATTCTGAGGGTTTTCAGAAATAGAATCATCCTTTGGTATCTATAGGGGATTGGCTCCAGGATCCCCCAAAATACTAAAATTTGTGAATATTTAGATGTTTGTTTAAAATGGTATATTTACTCTTTTATTTTAGAGCCTTTGCCTGGCATGTGTGAGGCCTTGCCTTGGATCAAGCCTAGCACTGAAGGAAAAT